TAGTTTGCGCAGCAGTTCAGACTACTCCTAGCTAGTGTCACTGTTGTGGCCGCTTCACAACAGTTGACTGTGTGAGTTGCCGAGGGTCTCACCACCATTCATTGGTGGCATGGCCACAAAAGAATCCGGAACAACAGTGCAAATTCGATTTAGTGAGTTGATACGGGAAATACCTTGATCTCACAACTGTGCCGCGCTGTAAAGTGTTTGCAACAGCTGTGATATCTGATTACTTTGGCTCCGCCGGGAGAGCCATATGCAGTAATCACCCAAGTTCTTCTGACGCTTCCTTCTGTTTGTCGCACCGTCCACTGGTTAGTGCCTAACCCTACCAGGGGTAATATTGGCCAACTATGCACACCGTGGTGGCCGGTTGGCAGTAGTCTGACGAATGCACCGTATTTAACGCATATGGTTCTGTTTCAACAAGCAGTGCAGTTCGGTGCCATAGAGTGTGCTACCAAAGGCCGACATTACTGACACAGCACCGTCGCAACGAGACTGGACCTTAACGTGGTGCGACGGTTTGCGTACCTCATTGACCCATTGAGCTATACTGGGTGATGCCTCCGAGCATCTTGAGAGCTACTCCTATCAGGTTGGTCAATGGTGAGAGGTCAGACAAACTCAGTCTCCTGGTCCTCCAGGTTAGGGGTTTGAAATGGGATGGCGTCCATTTCTGTAAAACTAAATCACTGCCACCCCGCTGCCTTGCGGACAGGCTTTTGAGCCAAAGGCTTTGGATGAGGACCCTAATCGTTCTTCTGTCTAGGTCTGGGCGCCCTGGCAGTATCCCAGCCCACATACAACCATGACATTTTCTTCAAACATAAACTTCATCCTGCATCGGCCGTCGCGCAGATTATCAAGGGTCGCCTTATCTGCTGCATACAGCAGGGCGGATAAGCGAAAACATGCTATTGTTGGCGCCTCCCTTCTTTCTTTTCCACCTTTTTCTCTTACTCCCATCCCGGCCCCCATTACTAACCTTCCTTCTATAATTCCCAGCTTAATTGACAGCAACCGAAGTGCTACTGGAGTAGAACCATCTGCAGCCACCATCCCACAGCACCTATCGGACGCCTATCAGCAAAAGTTCCTTATAAGGCCACGCTGCCCCGTTTCCATGGCGACATTCAACGTCCGCACTCTAAGACAAACAGGTCAACTGGCTGCACTCGCACGCACCTTGGACACACTGGGTGTTGATGTATGTTGTGTGTCCGAAACTAGGATTAATGACCCTAACGGGGTTATTGAATTGACTGCACCCGGCTTATCCTCTCGTTATTGGTTGCACGCATCCGGAGACGCCAATACGGCACTCACGGGTCAAGCTGGTGTAGGTATCATTCTCAGCTCCAAGGCTGAGTCATCGTTGATTGATTGGATTCCGGTGAACAGCCGTTTATGTGCAGCCCGTTTGACGACATCAGCTAAGGTGAATTCGCAAAGTAGTACAAAACGCTGTTTGTTTGTGATTTCTGCTTATGCTCCCACCGACTGCAGTTCTAATGCAGTCAAGGACGCATTCTATGACGAACTGAACGCCCTACTACGCAGTGCTACTAGTTCAGATATTATAGTATTTGCATGGGATTTGAACGCACAAGTAGGGCGTCTGAACTCTTCAGAAGCTCAGCTGGGTGGTAGGTATGGACTTAACTCCGAACGGACTGACAACGGCGAGCGTCTGCTGCAACTGTGTGCGGAGCACCATTTGTTTCTTAGTAGCACTGCTTTTAGACACAGTGGGCGCCGAAGTGCCACTTGGCGTCCACCTGTAGCTGGCCAGCGATGGACCCAAATTGACCACATAGCCATAGGTTACAGGTGGCGCGGTTCCATTCTTGATTGCCGCTCGTACTGGAGTACCTGTGTCGACTCTGATCATGCCTTGGTGCGCTGTCGTTTCTCCATGAACTTTACCGGAAGGCGCACAAAGCGTCTCTCCCGATTGGCAACGGAGAAATTGTCCCAGCCCTCGGTCAGGCAAGCCTATCAAGAAGCACTGCATAGCGAACTCTCGCTCTCTTATCCTAATGACACTGAACTTCAGTGGAATAGGATCTCGGTTGCTATGCACGACGCAGGAGCATCTGTTTGTGGCACTATCAGTCGTCACCGCACCAGTCACTGGATATCCGAGAGGTCCATGAACCTGTTGGAATCTAGAAGGCACCTCCCGGCTGGTTCGGAACACAATGTGACCAGACGGGCTATTAGGCGTGAACTAAAGCGGAGCCTACGTGCAGACAAGGAAGCCTGGTGGACCAGTCGTGCTCAAGAAATGGAGGAGGCAGGAGCAGTAGGCAATTACCAGAAGCTCTTCCAGCTAATACGCACCACTGGTCCGAGAAAACCAGGCGTCAGTGAGACAATCAGAGACAGCGCGGGTGCGCTGATACACAATAAGGAGCGCCGTCTGACTCGTTGGGCTGAGCACTTTGAAGATCAGTTCAGCTGGCCCCCTGCTCCCGTAGCTCTTTTCTACTCAGGTGATGCAGGACGAGTCATGGACGTTTAGTTTAGCGCCTCCGTCGGCGGCCGAGGTCCGAAACGCGATCACAGCCCTCAATCGTTTTCGTGCCGCTGGCCCGGATTCCCTCCCACCTGCACTATTTAAGGATGGAGGTGAGGTCCTCTGCAAGGCACTGACCTCCTTATTCGAACGTATCTGGAACGAAGAGAGTGTGCCGGCTAATTGGAGCGAATCGATTATAGTGGCAATATACAAAAAGGGCAGTCGCACAGACTGTTCTATCCACCGGGGTATTAGCCTAACGCCAGTTGTGACAAAATTACTGGCCTCGATTATCGTTCGTCGCCTCACTGCAGAACGGGAATCTCGGATTAGGGAAGAGCAGGCCGGTTTTCGCCCAGGACGTGGCTGTATAGACCATATATTTACTTTGCGGCAGGTGCTAGAGCAGCGCCACGCATACCACAGACCGACAATAACTGTGTTCCTCGTTTTCAAGAGTGCATTCGATTCGGTCGATCGATCGATTCTATTCCAAATACTTGCGCGGAAAGGTGTTCCCACGAAATATGTGAACATCCTTCGTGCTCTATACTCGAACACTACAGGCAGGCCGCGTCAGGGTCTATGGTGTCCTATCGGATAACCTTTCGTCCACAAGTGGCGTTCGACAGGGTTGTCCGATTTCTCCATTTCTGTTCATTTTCGTCGTGGATTCGATCATGGAGTGTTCCCTTGCGGAATCTCACGATGTAGGCGTTGAAGTGCTGCCTGGTGAACGGTTGGTTGATCTAGATTATGCGGACGATATCGTCTTGCTTTTCGACGATGTTGGAACGGCACAATCAACCCTGAATAGCCTGCCCAGAGTGGTCCCATTATTTGGTATGCCCTTCGGACCTTCAAAGTGCAAAGTGTTGCTGCAGAACCACCAGCCACTTGATGACCCCTTGACGCTTGCTAACGATGAACTCGAGGTGGTTGATCATTACACTTATCTTTTCAGCTTCATCGGCAATGATGGGCGCATAGAAACTGACGTGAGCTCACGCATTGCAAAGGCCAGAGCTGCCTTCTTGAACCTGCGTCATCTTTGGCGACAGAAGGGAGTTTCCCTCCGTCTGAACGACCGTGTATACAAGGCCACAGTGAGGGCCGTTCTGCTCTATGGTAGTGAAACCTGGCCCCTTCGTCTGAAGATCTGAGGCGCCTTCAAGTCTTTGATCATCGTTGTTTGCGAAGCATTGCTGGTGTCGGATGGCACCAGCGTGTCCGCAACGATGATGTGCGTAGGCGAGTACTAGGTGGTGATGATCATGCTAGCTCCCTAGAGCAACAGATAGCACTGAATAAGTTGCGTTGGCTCGGGCACGTGCTGCGCATGCCTGGTCACCGCTTACCCAGGAGGGCCTTGTTCAGTCTACCAGGTGTAGGATGGCGCAAGGTTCGAGGTGGACGGCAGTTGACTTGGCAGCGGGAAATGAAGTCACTGACGACCAAACTGGGTGCCGTTGGTGCGTCTCGCCTTCCGGGTTGGAGTCCACGTGACTCACCTTGTGCTTGACTCGAGACTTTGCAGGACATGGCTCGCAACCGACACCAGTGGTGCGTCTGCTGCCGTCTCCTAATTGGATTGCCTGTTTAAAGTGTGTTTGGTGCTGAGTTATCTGCGGGGCGATGGCTGATTATGACGCGTGGCAGTGAAAGCCGCAAGGAAGCTGTCTCGCCGATGCCGCTTTATCTTTGCACGATAGCCAGCTGTTTGTGACGGAATGTTGTCTACACAAGGTGTAGGCGCCTTGACCCTGAATGTTTGCTTAGGGCATTAAGGTTTTCAGTTCAGTCCCCTTTCTCTCCCTCTTCTTATTCTTTGTTTCATAGGCCCTCATGGTTGTATGGCAGTGAAGCATCAGTTCAAATGGCTGATGTACTGCTGTTGATGATGCTGATGATGATGATGACGCGCGGTGTTGTGTGGACACCGATCGTTAGAGGGGACCATTCTTTTAACGCATTCAGTGTTGTTTTACCGGCAACTGTTCGTCGTGATTCATAATTAGCGCCCACAACTACCCAACCACTTGCTTGAACCGACCTCAGGAACTGTGACAGTCTACTTGGCATTCCAATCACACGTAAAGTTATATCGACCATAATATACTTCTCTGTGGCGCGCTGAGTCAGCGATAGAAAATGTCTTTAGCAGAATCGGGACAGCAGTCCATGGGATCGCAGACAACCGCCACGATCACACAACGCCTGGAGTTACTCCGCACGCCGACCACAATTGACATTGGTGCGCGTCTTGCATCCACATCTCGTCTGTTCGAGACCCTTTAGCATTGTCACTCATCCTGAGCTAGCGAGGTATTCAAAACCACCACCCGCCTTATGTCATCCCGCGGTTGTTGATGCATCTGGTGTCTCATGCTTACATATGGTCTTTAAAACAGTTTATTTTCCATAACGAGCCAAAATTGCTTGGGTTTTGTGAATCCAACCTCTGATGTAGGGATGTATGTTAACTGTTTCAATCGGTAAGTCAGGGACTGTCAGCTCGTCTAGTTTTTCAGAATGCGAACAACATAACTGATATTTTCCCCGGGTCGGAATCACGAGACACCCAGCGACAGTTGTCTTTTCAATTGCTATTCCTACGTTATAGCTAGGCATTTTCCCCTAACTTCCTCACTCGTTTGGCGGGTTATTTGTGGAAGAAAATATTTTTTTAAGAATAAAGATATTGTGAGTCTAAGGCAATTTGTCGCTTCCTCCGCACATACTTACCAGACATTCGTAAATGTCTACTGTCGCCTAGCTGCGTGCCTCAGTAGTTGGCCGGTCGTTTGTTATATCGTACTTGTTCTATTTGTTCATATCGCCTTCAACTGAGATCATTTCCCTGGTTGTGATAATACGCTGGTTCTGAATATTCCTTTCCTCAGTTGTCCAAGCAGGACGTCTTCTTGGCCTACCAAAGGGTGAGCTATCTGAACAATTCGTTCACCAGATACTCCACCGACGTGTCAAAGCTGGTTCCGGATTCGGTGTCTCACGATCGCGTCGTGTGACGGAGTATCAAACAGCATGCACGGTGTCTCAGGCTCGCGAACAGCGCGATTGCTTGGTTAAAGCGCTATACAGTAGGTAAGTCTACTTTTTCCTATGTTCATCACATTCTTGGACCAAAATCAGAACATACTGATGTATTTCGTACAACCTGAAGCTAATAATGGACAAATCCAAAGGGTACGCACCTCGCGGCATAAGCGCGCAGGCAATTGCGTGCGCACGCAGCATGTGCCTGGCTATTAGTGTGTCATTCCTTAGTTTAGTTACCTAAAGTTTTTCAGTTGTTTGTTCGTTAACGGTGTACACTGCTACTATTGCTATTGTGCAGTAGACCATCCCCACTCGAAACCACTTAAGTCGACGCTATCCGCACAGCTTTCTCCAACTCCGATGTGATTGATTTTTATGAAGTGAGATTACGTCAGTTGCGAGAGTTTTGCTCCCGGGACGAGCGAATCTTCATCTGTAACACACGACGTCAGTAATGATGGCACGAAAGGGTTATTTCAAGCGGATGTCAATTAAAATATCAGGCTGAGAAGCAGGCAACAGAGCTAACTTAACTAAGTTTATTGCTAATGTGTTGGAAACCGGTCGTGGAGTGCTGTGTTTTCGGCCGGCCAAACCTAATTTCCACTAGCTCCAGTTACGGTCCCAATCGTCAAATTGACTACTGTGTACACTTCGTTGCTACCACAGACCACCTTGAGAATGCGCGTCGCAATCCAATCACACCAAATGACCCTTCCGATCTAGTAACATTGTTTTAAGAAGAAAACGTGAGAAGCAAGGAATGACAGATGAATGTTTAGTCTGTTTTTGGTATATATAATCTTGTAGTTTTCCCTTATTAAGGATTTAGACACACATTGAGATAACATCTTTTGGTAGGTACTTGGCGCGTTGTATGCGGGAAATACCATGAGTAGACACCATAGTAAACCAACAATAAATGTTTGTTGTGACCTTGCAGATGAATGGAGAGTCATTTTGATGAACTCGTTACGGGAGTAGATTTCGACGCGCAGTCTTAATATGGACCGCGCTTCGCATTGCAGTGAACACTGGTCACTTCGATCACTGGGATGGTACTCGCTGAAGTGGATGAACTTTAGGTGTTGTGCGCCCGATAACACCACTCCACGACCGGTTTCGAAATTATTCGATCTCATCATGTAGAGATAGCAGGCATTCGAACCCGGGACGTTTGGAGTGTTAACTGGAACCTGTACCCATTTAGACGATAGTCCTGGATTCTCGTGTACTGCTATCTCTACCTGATGCGATTGAATAATTTCGAAACTGGTCATGGAGTGCAGTGTTTTTGGGTACGCAACGCCCAATATATATCTACTTCAACAATTACGGTCACCGCACTTGAACTGACCAGTGTTCCCTTCAATGCGAATCGCGGTCCACACTATGGTTGCTCGTTTCAATCGATTCCCATTATGCGTTCTTCACAATGACTCTCCACTCATCTGCAAGGTTACTGGAATATTTGTTGTTTGTTACTATGGTGTCTACTCAGGGTACTTCCCGCATAGAACGCGCCAGGTACCTTCCAAAAGGCGTTATCCTAGTGTGTGTGTCCAAATCTTCCATAAAAAAGAATGCTGTTGGTCATGGTTGCTTTTCTCACTGTCCATTTCATATTTACATGCTACATATTGCACTGCCAGCATGCTAGATTAGCTTTAAAGGTTTGTGTTGCACAATGTTTTACACTTAGTGAATTTCAACTTAGTGCGCTGAAGACGTCTGCATTGGCACTTGTTTTCCGTGGTCAAACCATCTGTCGTAGTACACAAGTTTACCACAATAGTATGCCACCTGTCACAATGCATATCGGTTCTATGTTTGAGAATCATCTGCTTTCTGCATACACTTTCACCGGTGGTTGCTGCTGGTTGAGATTCGACCCCATAATTGATTCGCTTCTTACAAGATCTGCTTCTTCGCACTTTCCAGCTTATTCAGTCACGTGGTTCAGATGATCAATACTCGTTTGGGCTTTCCGGCCGAACTTGCGGACTATTCAGAGCTAGGTTCGTTTTTTGTTCCGCTTTGAACGGTGCTCTGTTGTTGGATGTGTTCGATCAGTTTGTCAGTTTATTTACTGCGTATTTTGGTCCACCGATTATACCATAATCTGGCGCGTGCAAATTGAGTAATACGGAAACAACCGACATTTTGATAGAATACATCTGCAGGTCAGATGAATTAATGAAGCGCAATACTTACTTCACCGTTGTGCTGTACCCGAAATGAAGGTGTCCAGCTCGGTATGTCTAACACCAGGTAGCATCTCAGTGCCACTATGCTCTTCCGGATATCATTGATCACTACTTCCAAAACGACCCTGAGAGTGGACATCTTTGTCCAGCGACCCGTAAGCCGTAGTTTGGCATAGTTCACATTACCTTCGTTTTGCCCTCTACGAGCCCCTTTGACACTCACTCTGCTCCTGAGGTGCACATTGTTTCATCAAATAAATACTCATAGGAATCATCGATATTGACAATAGTGCTCTATGAAATTACGCAAAATGAGTGTATTCCAAGACTATCATTTTTTCGATAAACCTCAGTTTATTTGTCGGCCTTCTATTAATCATATGATGAGTCGTCCGGACTGATCGTTCGGATGTAATAAAATGAAACCAACCCATTCGCTGCTTCAGTTACTTAGACTTTTCCTTTTGCATGAAGATAATGGTGACACTAATCCATGTAGTTGGAGCGGCGAAGCTGTCCATACCTTCATCAATGTGTTGGACTTTTTAAAACATGCGTAATGTAATCTGTCGGATCACATCCTCATCTGATGGTATGGTTCGGAGCTGCCACTGAATTACATTTACGTTTGGGTAATTTATGGGCGGACTATTGATGAGCTTGTCTAATGGCAGGCTATGGTTTTACCAATTTCAGTCGATAACTTGATTTTGAAGAACTCTTCTCCACTTTTTTTCCGATTTGCAGGTATTTTGGACTTATTCGGCTTTGAACGATTCGTTGAAAACGGATTTGAACAATTTTGCATTAACTACGCTAATGAACGTCTTCATCAGAACTTCATGCGAACCGCTGTGAATGGTGTGCGCGAGAACCTCCTATCCGAAGGTGTGCTTCATGATGGTGGTCAAGATGCGACAGCAACCACCCACGCCTTGCGCAACTGTGATAACTCCTCGGTACTCGGTACCATCCGGACCTGCGCCAATCTGTTGGAGGAGGTAGGCGCCAATTGTCTGGGAGATTCAATAAATAGCATAAGCAGTGGCATCTGGTGTTTTTTTTGACTGCTTCTATTTGATCCAGTTGACGATGACATGTTTTGCCGACCAATCAGAGCCCGCCATCAATCGTGTTAATGGATTACCTTATTTTCTGTGCTAATATCCGTTTTTGTAATGACATTTCACTTTACACAACCGACGCAGCAAGTCAGTGACCAATCAGAACACTTCATCCCCTCACTTTATATGCTCTTCCTGGGTCCACTTCCCTATGTGTTGTATTCCCGCAGTTGCCGAGTGAAGTCAGTTCTGATTCCATGTGTTTCAGGCCAGCTGAGAGAATTCCACCGGCAATGTGATGAGATAAACCTTCTTAATATGGGATATCAAGAAAACTAGACTCTTGAGCCAACAATAGCGCGCTGCACTTAGGCGTCATGTCACTTCTGTCGACACGAGACTACAACAAGTCTGTGCACTCACTTTCGATGCGACACCTTTATGTGATGTTTTCCACATATCTTAGCCGGAGGTCACTTGGTGGCATCAGGCAGTGCTCAATGGAATGGACGGTACCATCTGAATTTCAATTCTTTGCGTATTTGCTAACCTCTTTTCTCACAGACCAATCCGGATGGAGATATCCTCTTGTTCGTGTTGATCCTTCATGTAGTTCCGCCTGCTCACTTTTTTTAAAGTTTTTCAATTAGCGTGTGCACCATCTAGAGCTGCCAACGCTGCGTCTCTATGCAATGGGTGATGCATATGGCTCTGTGTTGGAACTCTTTCCATCCCGTTGTTTATGCATCACCAATGCAGTTAGTCATTATTTACACACATACATTCGTGTTACAGCGATCTGGTCGATTTCCCCTGCTGTCATCATATACTTCAATAGCGTTAAGATATGTGTACCTTGACCCTGAATATTTGCTCTATCCGCTTGGGTTCTACATCAGTCCTTATTGCTTTTTCCTGACAATGTCGTCTCCATTGATTTGTGGTTGTATGACAATGAAGCGCCAGTACTTGTACTAGCGTCACTACTAATGCTTTGCCCTTGTACCCGTCAAAAGTTCATCTGTTTTGTAGGGATATTCTAGCTATTGCTTGCCGCAAACCTGGCATTCTGCACTCGGTCTCCCATTCTGCTGAATTTCTCAAGAAGAAGCACTGCTAGGCTATCAGAGCCTATGCGCAGTGGTCACCGCATCTGTTACTAATTGCCGATTGGGCTTGACTTAGCCCCGACGAACCTAACTTTCGACGCGCAGTCAAAATGTTACTTATCTGCTGTCAAGGCAGAGCGCCATTCAACGAGATTACGCACCGCACGTTAAATTAACATATGGTTGTACGAATTAATAAAAAGCAGTTCGTTTACTACTCATTCTAGTTGTCCGAGGCCGAACAGTTTGAACATCAGTTAGTAACAATGGGTTGAAAGTCGTCACCTATCTTTGTACCGCTGCCAAAATTTCTTCTGTCAAATTAAATGCTCACAACTCTGATTTATGATTGCCACTGCCTTTATGTTCTTTATGCGCTTTTGTCGTACTTGTATGTATGATAACGTCGCTCTCCACAGGTCTGTTTACTCAATCGCCTTCAAGAACCAAATGGGAATCGATCATTGGCCTTTTCAGAGAATGTGGACCCCCGAGAACTTGCTTGGATAGAAAGACTGCGTTCACAATGCACGCAGGATGCCACGCTTACTGTGAGCATGCGTGAGTATACTTACGTACCCAGTATGCTTGTTTTTATCACCGATTGGTGAGTTCTTTCACCTATCAGACGTGACACTCAAAACGATGCCTAGTAACACTTGAATTTACTTGCTAGCCCGTGTCACTAGCTTAATTTTTTGTACACATCAATAGGTTGTCACTTAGATTTGTATTCTCTTGACATCTTAATATCTTTCACTCGACTGCTTATGCGACCAGAATTGTCCCAACTGAGAACCAATCTTTGGCGTCACTTTTACTTTTGACTCCTGCATGTCTACCAAGGACATCCCGCATAGTTGGAGGCGTTCACACTTTATTGTATGTGCTTCACCACGCCAAAGTGCATAATCTTCATATAACATCATCACCCTTCTAGATGACTCATTGGAAATAGGTGTCACCTTCCTTTGCTATTGAAGGTACATTGTATTTGTCTGATGAGTCGCTTTTGAATGCTTTAAGTCTACTTTACTGAGAAACTGACCCACTTGTATACTAACCTACAAGGCATTATTAGTAAGTTGGTCGAACTCCGTCGCCGTCCGACATCCGAGTCCCGAGATATCGTAATGATAACCGTAACGTGGCTGAGCTGTGAAATTGCCGACGCTGGAATCGCTCTGCGCGCTATGTCACTTTTTCGGAACGACAGAATGGGTAGGGGAGGGGGAGTGATCATTTATTACAATACAAACCTTCGTTGTGAGCTTATAGTTGATCGTCAAACGTGTCACTGATCTCCTTTCGTGCAAACTGTGGTTGAAGGATGACGATACATGCCTCGGGTCCGTAGTTTACCAACCACCCAAATCCACTCCGGAGATGGACCACAGACTAATATCGACATTTCGCATTGTGATAAATGAGAAATACACCCATATCCTCATTACAGGGGATTTCAGCATTCATGATTTGGACACTCCAGCAACCGAGGCGGAACAGTTCAATGCCTATTTACAAGAGCTATGCTATAGCATACCCCTAAACAACCATGTCACCGATCCCACCAAGTTCAGAACAGCAAATAAGCCATCGATGTTAGATCTAGTGCTCACCAGCGAGGAGCTAATGATTGATGGACTGAATGGATGCAGTCCTTTGGGACGAAGCGATCACGTGATTTCACTTCGATTACATTTGCTACCCTGAGTATTTCAGTGCAGAACACGAAAAGATGCAATCTATTACGCAGTACCAGGTTTTGTCCGCACTCGTTGAAAATGCTAGTTGGACATTCATGACTAAATGCATTCCAGCGATAGCCTGTGAAATATTCTTAAAAACCTTCATGTCACTATTCACCAAAGCATCAGAGCCAAAATCTTTCCACCGTCCCATCAAACCAAAATCCTTCCTGAGAAGCCGAACCCAAAAATTTATGCCCTTGAGGGATCGGACATGGCGCCTTTACAAAAACAATCCCAGCACGGAAAATCGAACAGAGTACATTGCTCAGTGCAATTATTCGGTACAGTTGGTTCGTGAAGACAACTTATCACACCAACATGAGCTAACGAAGTGATTCTGTTTCAATCACAAGCTTCTTTACAAATACGTGAATGGACTTCAAAAGGTGCAGCGCGGAATCCCACCACTCACCACGATTGGCGGGTATACACGCACAGCAAAGGAGGCGGCCAACGACTTAAGGGCCCAGTACCTGCCCAATTTCCAAGGGGTACAAGCCTCAAACATTATACTTGCTTCTGTCACCACACCATCTTTGTTATCCGGCATCACATTCGCAGCTGGAATCTTGCTGAAAAAGTTACTCTCCTTGCGTACACACAGCTCTCCTGGAGTGGATAACATTCACTAAAGCACTGCAGGCAGCAGCTATGCACCTAGCTCAACCACTTGCCGGATTCTTTCAGCGTTGTCTCGACGAAAACGTAGTCCCGTCAATCTGGAAACAAGGTATTATAACCTCCTTCACAAGAGGTCGGTATGATCCTGCCAGTTATTATCCGGTAACGCTTCTCCCTATGCTCGCCATAGTCATGGAAACGATCGTCGCGGACGTACTGATGGGCTACCTGGAAAGCTCCGGCATCATAGCGCCTGAGTAGCACTGATTTCGTAAACATCGATCATGTACCACGAATATGCTGATAGCACGTGACAATTGGACCGAATTAGTCGACGAGAGGACGAATTGATGTTATTTACATGGACTTTTCAAAAGCCTTCAGTCGCTGGGCTCATGCAATCCTCCTGCACAAACTGCAGCTCTATGGTGTCGGTGATCCAGTATTAGGATGCGTTGCTAACTTTTTCCGCGAACGGCAATACGAAGTTAGAGTCCGAACTTCTCTTTTTGATCTAATTCGAGTGGAGTGAGGCTTACCTCAGGGTTTTGGTACTTAGACCTCGCTTGTTCTTAGTTTCCATCAATGATCTAGCGTGTGCTATCGTCTCAAAATTTTTACTTTTCGCAGATGACGTTAAAATTTAGCCGGCGATCAAGCGAATGGGCGACCACTAGTTCCTCCAGCGCGACCTCGATGAGGCCTGGCATTGGTCGGTGAGGAATGCAATGCCGTTCAATGTGGACAAGTGCCACGTCGTCCACATCCACCATGGACCCGCCTATGTCTACAAACTTGCGGCGCACGATCTGCAGACAATCCCTCAACAACGTGACCTCGGTGGGCTAGTACAGGACGACCTCGGTTGTTACGGACAGTCAGAATCCGCTTCAGAAAGAGATAACCAGCATCTTGGTCTCTTGCGGAGGGCATTCGGGAGTTTGGGTTCATGCATCCTCTCGGATGCTTAATGCGTACGTGCGTCCCCACGTCGAATACACAATCCAGGCTTGGCATTCTTGATTAAAGCATGACTTTGCGGCGCTTGAAGATTTCCAACCTCGAGCAACGAAATTTATCAAGGGATAGCGCAACCTTTCGTACCAGCAACGACTGACGACACTCGGAATGTTCAGTAGACGCTACCGGCGGGTACTTAGAGACCTTATATTTGTCTACCAGATACTGAGCGACCCCACTCACATATGCCACCACCTACTGAAACTCAGCCCGAACAGCAACCTCAGGAGCAGTAGCCTGAAACTGAGTAAGCAACACAGTTCTCACGGTTGTCGATGAAATTGCTTCTCCCTCCCGGTCTGTCACTCCTGGAACGCCCTTTCAAACACATTTGTCTATGCCCCCACATTAGCTGTTTTCAATAAACGATTGTATATCTCATTGAACACTCTACACTTTGTTACTTGAACGGATATTCTGGATTTATTCTGGCTAACTAGCCACTTTGGAATTGTGATCCACAGTGACACACGTAAATTTGTACAGTGGGATAAGCAATCTGCTTTTGCTTGCTATGAGTATTACTCATTAGAACGTTCTATTTGGTTTTGCCTGTACTATCTCACCCCCATAACCATCCCTCTTAACACAATTACTCTTTCGCGTTGCCTATGCGTATTTTATTTAGTCCACTTATGTAGTATTTAAATCACAATTTTTTCTATTACCAACCTACAGGACATGTTAAGCCTGTACTTTTTTATCCATTATAAGCCGTTGTTCCATTGTACCATGCTTTACTTCCTTCCTTAGCCAGTTTTCGCCATCGTTCTGAAACTACGAGGCTTGTGCGCCTCTGTTCGAATAGTTTTTTCTAACAGACCGAGGCGAAAGAATTACCTCAGCTCTAGCGCTCGCTTCTGCCTAACTTAGCTGTCCTTGTAGCTTCCGCCTCACTTGCAACCGTTTGCCGTTTGGCGGCACTAGCATTATTACGGATACTGACCTATCGCTGATTCCTATTTTGTTTGTGAGGAAGTGTAGGATGCTGGATTTCTCGGGTGCCTTTACACATAAGTCACTGCGTTAGATCTCCGTTTTGCTATAGCCAATCTCGGCTGATCATTTTGCAGTTGTGTGTCGACATTTTGGTTGCCGTGCTTTTGTAAAGCCGGGTGTCATCGGTCTTTGCTAAAATGTCTATGTTGTTAATTCTTGCAAATTCGCAGCCTACTTAAAAGTAGTCAACTTTTAATTAGCATGTTTCTTTGTCTATGATGGTTTGCTACTGAGCCATCAATGACTGGTGTGCATTGTTAAGCGTGTTCCGAATAGATTCACTTCTGCTGTTTCAAATTGCTCTGTATTTCCTCATTTATCGATGTAATGCTTCATATATGATACCCACGCATCTAACCCAATCCACTGGTTGCACAGATGATCTTCTTACCGTTAAAAGACAGGCGAAGAGATACGGAATCTCGGGCAAAAGCACTTCCAACAATGATTACCCTCCAAGTTCGCTCTCACCTTCAACAGAACGATGCACTTCAAACTGCTTCACTGTGCGTCATTTCGCGGGACCTGTTAACTACTCCGTAACAGGTTTTGTGTCGAAGAATTTGGATCGGTTACCCGTTCATATTCTCCAGTGGCTTGTCGACAACATTTCGTCTCCAGCCGCACCGAACAATCCCGCCTGTGGGGCCCAGCTGCCTGCCAATTCCGGTCTCATTCACGCTGTCCTTGTAGCATCCGCCGGGTTATCATCCGATAGGTCAATGAGCGATTCTCCTTGTAGCTTCAGATCACCGTTAAAGCCCATCAATTCTCCTCCTTTCTTGGGTTCCACTGTAAACGACTCAGTCAAGAAACCCATCTTCCGTAAGTGAGACGTACCATTTGTGAAGCTATAAGATATGATGCATTTTTGCGATCTTCGTCAATTGCCTTTTTCCATGCGCATTAAATGCTTTCGCGTTTCCTATTCTCTTTCAATATTTTCCTACACCTTCCCGACTCCGTCGGCTATTTTACGCCTCGCTGTTGTCGATAGATTTATCTCTTTGTGCTTCAATGTGTTATCCAAGCCTCTTGCTGATCCACTGTTGCCCCCACGCTAATCTCCAAACAGTTCCTTGGAGTTCCTCACCATAGAGATAGTATAACCTAATTTATTAAAAAGACTCTCGGCTCTGCCATCTGACTCAGTAACATGCTAATTTCTTGAAGAAGGCAGATCTTAGTAATCTGATGGACGTTCTCGCTGGCTTAACACACCAGTTCTGCCTGGAGTGTACACGATTGCTGCATTATATAGCGCCCGAATGAGATGCATCGAATTCCCTGTATGGCGAGTTAATTGGTACTGCCTAATCCTAACGCAGCATCTCATTCTACGTTTCCTTATCCGGGCGATGTCGATCACCACATTACTACTAAATCTCCGCGACCTTCAGTGATGCTCAGAAATAGTAACTTTCCCCACTTGATTTTATTCCGAACACGGTCCTAATTCAATTCCATTCGGTCGATCAGCTATGGTTCGAGAACCTAGTTTCTGTGGTCCCTATTACCGCTTCATGCATTGCTATGGCTACAAAACTCAATAGAAGCAGAGCACGTGAGGGAGATGCTGCAAATAATTGTGCAAAAATGAAACAAAGAAAGTATCACAACTAAGTGAACTGCAGTAACTCACGGTTGCATGCAGGAAAGCTTATGCAAGCCTGCCATTGAATTCACGGCTGAAACCCATAATGTGTGTTTGTCTAGTCACTTATATTGTTGATCACGAGCTCTCGTCCAAAAGCACGACTCAAATTATCCAAATTTAACCTCTCTGTCAAAGATCACAAGCCTGCGTTGTAATCCGTGGCCGCGAGTTCGAGCCAGCGTAGGAACCGGGCGACCCTCGCAGTATCCTTAGCCCATGTGCGACTGGTGGTTGTTGTGCGGCAGTGAAGCGTGCGTACTGCGCACGGCTTACTGTTGATGTATTTCTACATCACGAGTTCCATTGAAGCTACATGTTACAATCTCAAATTACAACAGGTGATCAAACCCCGAGCTCACCATGCACCAATCAGTTTTCAAACCATCTTCACAACTGTTGTTCTCGGAGCCCCATAGCCTAGTGTGTATAGTTTTTGGTCGGCATCCATGAAGTCATGTTTTCAGTTCCAAGTTACACCCGTGGCTAGTCAGAGTGCAATTCAGTTCATTCGAGCTGTTGTCACGCGGGCACCGAAGTGTGGTGGATCTAGTTGGTATGACTCACATCGCCAGAATAGCAATAAATAAAAACGGTATGCGGATAAGGTTGAATCCAAATGGAACGCAAAATACATGAAATGAAGACGGAAGTGCGCAAGACTAACCGAAGTGTAAAGTTAACAGCTCCATTCCAGAATCCGATTGCAAAAACGCCACGGACTGCGCAACTGTACTGTGTCTGATAGGGTCTCCAACCATTGGTGTAGACAATCCCGGGGCCCCCATCCACAAAGACAGCACGTACCAGCCTGACCAAATCTGAGTCGGTTTCTTCATACTTTCTGCCACGTTATTCACTGTCGTCTCGCATTTTCGTCCAAATTGTTGCAGTCACAGCGAACGTTTTGCAACTCGCGCGGACACCAATACAAGCTTGTTGTTCCAGATCTGAAGCGAGTTCCCCATCTCCTATGCTTTGTTTGTAGAATAGTCAGTAGTAGTAGAGTTTGGAACAGTTTTCAGGGTCATATAGTGGAAATAAACTCAGTACAGCAGTTCAAACAATTGTTGAATGTGATTTTCTCAAATACTAGGTTCCGAGGACGATTACCCGCTGACATTTCACATTTTTGAGTCCCAACTTTTAACGCTATCACTTGAGAACGTGAAAGCGATCAGAGTATTGACAAGTCGTAAATCTTTTGCTTCTCTAACGTTTTTGGTCGTATTTCCATGGTGTTGTACAGATTCAACTTACTACTTGCTCCCACAATTCACTGTTCAGTGTACAGTATAATGCATGCCGAGAAAGACAAAGAGCACATGGCGAATGTGACCAGCCCACGTAAACGATTAACTTTTAGCAAGCACTCAAGTGAGGCTTCAAAAGGTTTCTTGCTTAAAACCAACTCGTAGACCTCAGCATTTCTCATTCGGTGTTCCCTCCAGATGTAAGCAATACTCTGCAAGCACCGGTGGTTAAACACGGCCAGGCGTCTAACCTCTCCACTGCTCAGGCCTGTGATCCACACAGTAGCACATGTCTTGTCGCAGCGTTATACACCCTACCTTTTACTGATCAGCTAATATCCTACCGTCTCCATAGATGATTGGGCCTTGCTGATACGCGAAGTAACTTCCTTAGTGATGTGACCACTAGAAGTGACACAGCTACCAAGGCAAGGGAATCGATCCACCACCTCCATTTGATTGCTGATAGTTAAAATAAACTAGGTTAAGGTCTTCGTGGAGGACGGTCTCGGGTCCGATTCTCTACTGTTACTTAGGTTTGGACGCCCTGACTATACCCCAGTCCGCCTACCACTCGCGGTTGCAAGGCACCAAAGTAGTGTGGTACCGTTGATGCCTCTTTCTTCCCTATCGACGGCGACTGACACCTTAAATATCTTTGTTTTATTGCATTATTGGCGTTGACGGAGTTTTCTTTTGAATAACTCATGATTGGGGTTTACATTTCATTAGACCATTTGATTTGTGGCGCGTATAAGAAGCAAATGCATCACAACTCACGTAGATGAAAAAGTAACAACAAAAAGCAAATGTGTCGAAAAAGAAAAGTTTATCGGGGGGTCTGGTCCTAAGATTCACATGTGCGCACTGTTTGGTTACATTGTTCTGTCCCCCAGTAACTTGGGTTGATTCATGTGCTGTAGGTGGAACAGTACATTCACAAGTCAGCAATAGGAGATACCGGCACTGTTCCACAACTGGGATACACTAAGGGAGAGAAAGTTCTGGCAACATGCTATGTGGTGGCTTCTCACTTAGATGTTGTGGCCGAGGTTTTAGGAAATGTTGACATAAGTGGTTATCGTCCTTGAGTATCTGGCACAGCAATATAGGATCATCCCACAGATGACTTATTGCCGGTTGAAAACTCCTATTGCTTTTACTCTAACTTGGTAAGAGGTGGAACAGACCCTCAACATCCTTAGCCGCCCTGCATTGTGGAGTCGCAATGGCAGCTAGATTATTCCTTTGCCAAGGGTGTTAAACCTGGATGGCGTATTCCACATAGTATCTCATGTAAACGTTGGTTGAGTCAAACCGTCCAAGCGCCCTCCACGAAAGGTCTAAGTTTTGACTAGCTTTTCTCACCGCTTTATGGACCGATTTTGAGCAACCCAGATCGTACAAACACTGGGATCATTCATGGGAAACACTGCTCCCTTGCCCGATACTAAGGTGTTGTTTGGTAGCTTATGCCCAATAATTTGCAGTTGCCATCATTAAACGAGCATGCTCTGAGCCGACTGCCAGTAAACCCTGTCGATATCACCTTGCAGTGCTATGCGGTCGTTTACTATATTTATGACCCGCCGAATCTTGCGAGTATCAGCAACGAGTAGAACGTTTGGGGTGACCGCTCCCGCTAGGTCGTTTCTAAACTCCGTGCATGGTCTTGGGTCTGGTACCGAGCCCTATGAGACGCCACACCATGCACGTCTGTTGGGCCAGACAAGACGGTTCGAACTCATATTCGGGCGGCGTTAGTGGAGGAAGACACGTATCCAGCCCGAGCTATGATTACCGATCCCACAGCTCTCTAAATATAGTGGGTACACCGAAACAAATCACACGTTAAGTGATGTCCGGCTTGCTTAATCCACCTTTACCTCGCCCTCTAAGGAATTTCTAACTAGCCTGAGTTACTGGTCGAATTTCTTGTGGTGGTACCTCGCGGCCGAGTCACATAACAGCTGTAGTGAAATCTAGGGCACTCACTTCAGCCAGTGACTAGTAGGCAAACGTCACTCCGCCTGCTATTCTGTTCGTAACAGTACTGCATTGGTCAATACGTCGGAACGAGCTACTCAACAGTTACGATATCATTAGAACCCGTGCCCATGGGGACCCGGACGACCTAGCTAAGCACGTGATCTCATATTGATCGTCATGTGAATCCCGCGATTCACCTCCGTCTTAGTTCAAAAAATTAATTATTGTTCAGTTCTCTTATCAACTCGGGGCTACATGGTTAGCGGCATCCGGTTTCGGATTTGCCTGTCACTGTGGCCAGCCACAGGACGCCTGCGCCTACAGAGGGACCATGGATGGCTTGCGCTGCACCACCCACAGCTCCATCCACACACCCCATATCCAGTGTGAACCCGAAGGAATAAGACCGGGATGCATGCGGATGGGAGCCACGTTTCATCAACGGAGCCGTCCCACACTCTTTCACAAGCAAACACAAGCACGCTGTATTTGGGGAATCAAGTGCACACAAGGCGGTGGCTGGACCGTATTCCGCTCCACACCGACTGCATAGAACCACTCTTCGAGCATAGCACGACCACAAGGACCGTGCACCCCGTCCCCTCCAGCAACGACCAACTGTCTCCTGGAGCCAATATGGACGAGATAGTGGGTAATAGACGGGTAAGCACCTTGTCAACATGCCCATCAAGCGCAGCCACACCTGGGATGTCAAACAACAGCCAAACACTCAAAATGCCGGTTATCGAATAATGTAAACGCATATGACGACATAAATACTCGCTAAATGAACACGTGGAGGAAATTGATTATAAGTGAGTCCGTGATAAGTACAAAATGTCTGAGTTATTTTAAAAAGATACCACGCGATACAATTACGCAAGTTTACCACAATTTCCATGAGCGACGTGTGCAAGTTGGGAGAAGATTATCAAGTATTCAGAACAAACCAAATGAAATGTAACGAATTTTATCCACATTAAAATGACCTAGTTTAAGTGTAAGTTGGTTTAGCCAAACTCGGAGCTACAAGGAACCATTATAATCGCACTGTCTTGGTCTTTTTTGCTGTAGCATCCTCAAAGCAAGTTCGGATGAGACAACTCTGCAGCCCTAGCCGTCGTGTTAACACGGTATTTGGCAACTTCAAGGTACGTTTCCACCTGGTTAGCTTAGGCAGTTTTTGTTATGATGTTTAGCGAACGTTCTGGCCTGTATTATTTTCGATTTTTCGCGCTGCCAATCATTGGTTTGCATATGTTTCAGTAGACCAGTCACATTGGCTTGATTCAGCCGGATGCCATTATCATCCTTTTCGTCGCGTTGCACCATCGATGGTCCTACTTGCTCGCTTGCGATTTGATGTCTGTAATTTTACCTCCACGAGCATTTGCATTGATCCCATGAGTGGTCATGTCGCCCGGTATATAGCAAGCTATTCGATGACAGCTGAACCACAAATTGTTTTTGCTTTCAGGAGGATGCGAGCCTGGCCTTGGTCTCATTCGCGTTTGTGCATTGCTTTGTAGCGCTTGTTGCCCTCGCCTCTTCCATTCTGATGGTCACACGTTCACCTCCCAGCAATGAACCTGAAGAACGTTATAGTCTCACAGTGTCATTCGTTGCTATCTATTCGGTGACCATTTTGCCGCTTCCTTACTAGTGAACAGGTCGTGGGTTTTTGCTAGTTCCGGATACACATCCTTTGCCATCTTTTTCATACTTCGTTTATTTAATCTATGGGTTTACATCATTCTGTCCCAATGGATTGCGCAATTGGCGGATTTGCTGACCGCAAAAGCGTTCGCTCGCCAGTAACACTGGATCACATAATCTCATGGACTCGCCAAATTGCTCCTTGCATTCTCGATGTGGTTTTGCACACTCGATTTCAGTCTGCGGAATGTGACACTTCATGGGGTATTTTACCAAGTGATTTGTTTGTTGTTGCCTGAAATTTCGATATTTCACCCCAGCCATCACAGCCCATGACCATTCGCAAAAGGTTCGCTCCATCATTCCGAGCTTTTATTTTGTACTCCTCCCCCTCTCATAGTCGGCTGTGGATGCGTTACTCATGAAACTGGACACTCATCATTTATCATTCGTTCGCTGTCTTCGTCCCGATCGTTTGCCTGACCATGAGCATTCGGGAAGCATTCGGCTCCCTCTGGCTACCGAACTTTCGGCACCATCTGTTGTTGGCTCGTGTTGTTCGGTGGATCGAGACCGATTGAAAGATCAGCTTGCCAGTGGCGGCCTATTGGCAGCCGTGCGCGTCCTACGATTGGCATATGCTAACAGGTTGGCTATCAATGCAGATTGCACGTCATCTTTTTAACGTATACAGACATTCCCATTTTCTTAATGACTTTTTTGTTTTCCCCCACATCAGCTACACCTACGATGAGTTCGTGAAAAAATACCGGGCTTTGCTGCGATTGTGTCCCACTGACACAAGCAACTGTCTAACATCTGCTTCACCGTCCCTGTTTTTTCCTTGGTTGAAGGAATTGATCGGAGAACCACCTGACTCGTCCTTGCAAAAGCTGCGACTAATTTACGGCAAAAACGGTACGTTATCGGTTCAATTTAAATTTTTTCTGGTCATTCATGCGCCAGTTGCTATTAAACGCCTTTCATTGTTCTCTTTTCTTTTTTATCACCGTTCCTTGCCGACACGTGTCAATGTGTCACACCACCCCCGAACACTGTAGCCACCGCTTTAATGCTTGATTCGATAACGCAGAACTGCCTCACCGCTTGTCTGGTGTTGCCGGTCCACATGTGTTCGCATTTTGATCAACCGCTTACAAAGTGTGTGTCGACCATCCTGCTCGTTGCCCGCATCTTTCTGATAAATAATATCCGATCAGATATTCGCACATTCATGTGCCATTATTGTTGCGGATGTGTCGTTCATAACAGCTACTACTAACTTTTGACAACATGGTCATTCTGTTAGCGGTTTACCGTGCGGTGCGTTGCACTCCCATCAGGGTATTCCGCACTGCATCTGCTTAGCAGCAATAAAACAGCAGCAACAACCACATTGCACCAATACTTTTACTGATACGTCACTGCAATGCATCCACGAATTAAGTATAACGATCCTACTGAGTGAAAGAAGTGATGGAAGAGACCTGATGTAGGGTTGCTTACCCAGAGTAAGCATTCAGGGGAGGTACTTTTCTCGTGGAGTTTCTTGCATTGCATCATGATCAGTCTTACTCCGTAGGTAGAAGACAGCATCCGCACCGCTTGTGCCAGTTTTGAGTCATGCCCCATAGCGTCTGTATCAAATCACGGGGCGGCGGACCGCATCAATCTCAATCTGGAGGGCGAAACGGACCAACAGTATCCCGTTTAGTTGTCTGCGATCTTGCTCGTCCTTGCCATCTCAACGGCTGTTCGACTGGCACTGTTGTTTTGGCTTTCTGTGCTTCGGGCACCGGTGTGTGCTGTATTTGTTTACCATGAGCCACTTCACTATACTGGTAACACCAGTAATAATAAACTACTGATTTAGATGTAGGGGGGAGAAAAGCGAATCTACTATTAGGAACCCAAATAAAACGCGTGAAGAAAAAGCACAGAGGGCTAAATTTGAAAGATCGGTGAGTTAGCAGCGAAAGACCAAGTCTAAACTCCCCTTATTTCGCAACCACACCGCTCATGCAACGCATATCACTTAGATTCCGTTTATGGAAACAGCATGTTCCAGTTCGACTGCGTTTTCCGTTAATTTCCTTTGACCACATTTTCCGTTAATCGCATTCAGATTTTACCCAACCCTTCACGGAATCATCACATAATAAGTGCCAAGTTGCTCGGTCATTCAACGAGCTTCCGAAGAACGAACTCAGTTAAACTAGATGAATCGTATATTCGGCAGACAATGCAGTGAGGTATCAAAGCGTCTATTGCGAAACACCAACAGGCGCACTTCAGGTATGCCGACTCCAGTGATCACACCCGAATATGATCAGTGGTTGTGACCACTTGCAGTCAAGTACCACCCTAATCCTTCTGGCTCGGTTCGGACCCTCTGTCGACACCTACATTTCCGTTGTGCATCTCCAGTTTCCGTTACTAAGCTTCCACGCGTAGTTTCCAGCGTGAGTGACAACAACTTCAGTTTTCTCGAAATGCTACCATCTACAACTATGTCACCGCAGTAACCACTACTCTTCCATCATTGAGTATCCCATATTTGATCATGCCTAACGGTTTTTTTTCGGCATTTCACGCTATACTCTCCAAGCAAATTGACATCATGTATCTCTACAAGCACTCTGGATGTTTTTGATGTTGGCGCGTGCTTTATGTCTGAAATCAATTCATTATTAACGTGACAATAGAACTAAATGCGCCCAGCATGTTTTTGGTTGTACACTTCCGGAGATTGTGATGCCAAAATCGCGGGTCAAATTTGCGTTTACATTACCCTTAACTCCTAGCTGATATTATTCCTATAAACCCCCTATTTGCACAGACTGGCTAACGCACGAGGCAGCGCTAGACCTTGTTCACTCCTGATTGCTGCGTATGCTTCGACCGACTGCAGTGCTGATCCTACGGAAAAGTTTTTCTGCGATGACTTTCCCTTACTACGTCATAGCGGACGTAGTTCTGGTTGCTGGGGATATGATCGCGTGAGTGCTCTCATCGCTTAACGGGCTCAGTAAATTTATGTGTTAGGAATTAATCCAGAAAATACGGCTGTTTGTGAGCGTGCGTTGCGATTACCTGACAATCTATGACTAGCTGTAGTTAATACTAACTCCAAGTCTGAGGAACACTAATGTGCTCCTTGGCATAGCCGTGCGGATAGTTAGCGATGAACCCAGATAGACTACATCTTAGCTTTAGATGGCGTAGTTCCATCATTGACTACCGGCTGTTTTTGTGCGCATGCCTGAATTTTAATCATGCTTTTGTACGTTGCAAATTTTCTTCAAGTTTCCCCGATTCCTTGATTATCGACTGTGGAACGGTCTTAGCCCATGGTTAGGTAACACTACCCGGGAGTTCGTCGGATTATGCTCACGTCTGCTTGTCCTGAGGACGTATAACTCAAGTAGAATAGCATTCCAGCCGCGACATCCGATTCTGGAATATCTTATGGTGATTCTACTTTTCCTGTACTGGATATCCGGAGACCCGTTTTGCTGGGACCGAGTACAGTATGTGTGAATTAAAGTGTAGCCTGCTAGCGGACATGGAAACCCGCTGGACTCTGTAGGCTCAGGATAAGTAGCAGGTAGGAGCAGCACGCGAATTCCGCTACCTCTTAATACTACCCCACACTACTGTCCCCTATACGTCATCGCTCTGTGAAGCAGGCATAAATGGTGCCGGCGTTTATTCACAATGGATGGACCGTTCGGCTCTTTCGCTGGTAAAATCTTAGGACCACTTCATTTTGAACCCTTCGGCTGCTTATCAAAGGCTGAACTGCGCAGTCTTTCGACACTATCAGCATGGCGCTTTAAGATTCGAAATAGTGTAGGTCAAAGAAGCACAGTGACTGCTTGAGATGCTCAGTCTCATCTCAATATATCATAACCCAATCGGTCGGTTCCACGAATAGTCAGCAGGCTAATTTCACCCGAAATGTCAGCACAACCTAATACACCTAGCTTAACGCGGCCGAAGAAACCGTAAGGTCCCAGACATAACATTTGTTTTTTTTTCTATTACTTTTTGACTGATATTCTTGTTTCTTTCCCCAGGCAATATGCAGGCGAAGCAGGTTACATTGTTCCTCTTGGTGCTTGGGCTACATATCGTCCCGGATGCCGCATGTCGAACCAAGGGAGACCAAAGGCGAAAATTGTCCACTCTATTGGGCCAATTCGGCTCGACACGGATTTTTCTAACCGATGCTCAGAATGAAGATTTGGAACGTCTCCTCACAGCAACACGCTATTCTGCCGCGAAGATTATTCAAAGAGGTATGTGTACTTAAGGAGACATTTTTGGAGTATTTTTCATTGCTGCTGGTCGAAGTCACTCATCGAAAACTATCTATTCCTTTGTTTCATGCTTATGGTTTGTCAGAAGATTAGCTAAATGGATTTCACTTAAACTCAGGTATCGTCCATGCCCCCTAGCTACCTTTGACACACCGAACTGTATCCCATGTTGTAAGTGTTTCAGAAATGAATACTTCCTAAACGTAGTCATGCTGTGACCGGATCCGTGATTGCAGTTGCACTGCAACAGAGTATCAACACATGACAGTAAACTGCTTATGACTGATAGCGTTCCACCAGTCTACTAGCTCAACGGACAATAACCAAGTGCTTTTTATAAGGTCTTTAGTGGGCGAACGCATTTATTTGACCTGTAACATCTAATGTTATTAATGCGATAACTGTTTTATTTTAATGGAGGCCATTTCTGGTCAACTCAAGTCAAAATAAGTTTTATGTATCCAGATGGGTACCTTTTCTGCACTTTGCAATGTCGACTACGGATGGGCTAGAATTACATTATCAGAACTGTAAATTTGTATCAATGGAAAAATGGACACTGTGTACAGGTGTCACTTGAATAAACAGTCGGTATAAACGAGCAACAATTAAGCATTTCCAGATGGAATAATCTAAAGCTGCATTCTGTTGACAGGCCAACGTTGCAAGCTAGCTTTCCGATCGGAACGGCCCATCTTCGAGTGAGTTTTTCTCAGAAAATAAGCGACGGAAAGCAGTGGCGACCTTGTAACTAGTTTGACGAAGGCCATTGTTGAATTATTCCGAAAAAGCTAATGTATCCGTAACGATTCTCGTGCACTGAAACAAGTTGGAACCTGTAATGGTTGAATTAATCGCGCAATTTAAGTACTCCCAATAGTTTTACTATTTGCTAACCCTCTGTGATACTTGCGCTCATCATCATAGGGGAAAATATTTCTGTTGCTTCGGGGCACACTAAAACCGATACTTCAAATAGTGTCTTTTATAGACCCTTCTTCCGAGTAGTCCATTGCGAATTATTTTTTCACCTCTGTTCTTATCCAGTGGGTAGTAAATCCGACAAATATTCTACTCACTTTTGCATTGATTGGCGCGTCAAGAATGACTCTCACGGCTCCTGTCTCTACAAAGCGAACCTGACTGAGGAACAGACCGAATGTTAATACTGCTCCTAAACCAGCTAGAACAAAAATTCTGAAAGCATCAGAAACACAAGTGGCTGACAGTATAGTTGAACTATATAGCAAAATACAATTCGTGCAGGCAGAGTTGAAAGACCTTAAAAGTCAGATGAGTATAGTGGAACCTATTGTAAAGCTATTGGCACCACTAACTTACATTCTGGAACCATCAAAATCCCAATGTACTGAACAACTTGAAAGGGCCGGAAACTTTATAGTCACCATAGCAACTGAGGCACATGAATGGATTGGTCGTTCTAGGAATGTCGTGATATTTAATATACCTGATAGGTACCCAATTGAGAAACTTAAGCGAATACTTTTATTAACTGCTTCTATCAGTGAGGGGGACTACACTGCCATCCGTCTTCGGAAAAAGTTACAAAATCACGATGGTCCTGTGCTTCAAGATCCTTCATTGACAAGCGGTCAAAGAGTATAACGACAACCGAGCGTTGATTAGAGCGGATCGTACCCCACTTGAAATAGAAATGCAAGCTAAAGGCATTGCCACACTAGTCAACTTAGCCTCCAAGTCTAGAGAACCGCCATTGAGAGCACCTATTTTTTAGTGATCTCTGTGCCCCTGAAGTTGATCTAGACGTCCACGTTGCTTCTGCAAGAGACCGCACAGCAGAGGTTGCCTCTAACCTTGTTGCCCCATCTGTGGATATAACTGTGAAGGAAAATGTACCTAGCTATAACCCAAAGGCAGTTGATTTAACGACAGCACCGATTAGGCACGAAATTTCATACACAAGAACAAATTGCCGTACTCCATTGCTAAATTGTATTAAACCCGCTCAAGAACCAGAAACACATCTTCCCCGGATTAATACTTGACCTAGAAAAGTCGTAGCTCTAAACATACCTTCGGTTTACGAAATGGTAAATATCATTAACACACTGAAGAGTCACCAGTCCGTGAAAGGGCAACTAATCTCAGGGATACAGCTTAAAACATCTTCTATGGATTGCTCTAATTCTGTGTTCCTTAACCTATCAGATGCATCTGACGTCAATATACTGTATTCCCAGTGCAGACAGCTGCGACAGCTCATCCCCTTCACCAAAAAGTAGGTCTACGTCTTGTCCACAACTTTTGGAAAATTGTCGGACCATAGCTAATCCATGGATTCCCGAGCAAAACCTAGAAGTGCAAGCACCAGCAAAAGTCCTACCGCTGAATTTTTTGGTCAACCTTTTAATTGGCCTCTACCGCCCTTACCCCCCCCCCCCCCTCAGTCTCACATACCCAGAGCCGTCGTCTTAGCAGCCAATTTCTAAACCTAGTCCAACTACATATGTACAATGGTTTCAGTGATTTCAAAAAGGTTTTAGAACAACTGGTTGGTATAGTTTTTGGGCAACGTTTCGCTTTCGACACAAAACACTTCGTCAGGCCGAGTGAACCGGTCGAGGATTGGTATAGCACTTATAGCGAACTGGGATGATAATCGCGACGAATGGGATATAGGCAGAAGGTCAATCGCGTTACAGGTCAACGCATCCCTCCAACTAATGTATAGCACGGTCACAAGTGGTCCGCGTTACAAGGTCACACACGTAAGCCCTGTTAAATGGCCTCAATGTTTCTCAACTACCACCACCATTATCACAACAATACCCTCTATTTTCCATGAAATATTAAACTTGACTTCTGAGCTGGACAATATCATAATCCTTTTTGTTAATGCAAGTTCGCTGAATAATAAAATGCATAGCTTTCGCCGTCCTATTGCTCTCTAAGTTCCCCACTTAATACTAGTAACTGAAACATGGTTCTCCCCCCCATGTACCTCATACATATTACCACGTTGAGGACTGCACCTTCGTGAGTAGCCGTCATACGGGCAATAATGGTGGCTGTGCCATCTATGCTCGGGAACGGCTATTTATCCACTCAATATCAGACCTACAGCTAAAGAACGTCAATGAATCCGTCTGGGTTTCGGAGGAGTTGAACAATATCCACATCCTAATAGGTTGTGTATTTATCCCTCCGCATTGTAACACCCTCCAATGAAATTGTCTCTCTTCTGCTTTTGTATACGCCTCTGATCTAACTTTCACCCACAAAATAATCGGGGGTGATTTTAACATGCTGATTCTCTCCTGAGAAAAGTGGTTTGTACCACCTGGATTCATGAGTCTCATCTTAGAAATCCAGCTACTGGGATGGTCCCAAGCTGTGCAAAAACCAACGAGAGGTAACAATATATTGGACTTAATAGTTACTCATGACGTTTTTAACACCACTGTGAACGTGCTGTCTCTCTTTCCATGTAGTGATCATAATGTGGTACATTTCCGTTTTGCATTACCAGTAATCATCTGGAAATCAAAGCATTTGCCTATGGTGGTGCCATGCAGAGAATTTAGTAATTCAGATTGGGATAAATATTCGTCTCTTCTGCGAACAACCAACTGGGATCTGTTTTTCCTTACAGATGAACCACAGACTGCGGCTAATGAAATGTACGCTAACTTCCAACAAATCCTAGACACCCTTGCGCCGATCAAAAAACAACCGAGTAAAAATGTTTCATTAAGAACGCCGCGCTGATTAAAGCAATTAAAGAAAGTACGTACTCAGATTAAACGGACACATGGTTTTTCCTTCTTAATAAGGCAGGACAAGCTCCTTGCTGAACTTGAGTTAAAAAGAGCACAGAGATCACTGGCTGACGAGAAACGAGCTCTGGAGTCTACAAATAACTCCGGAGACTTAGTCAAAATGATGCGGCCACGAAATAAAATCCAACCTGATACGGTTTCCGCCATTATTCTACCAGACAAATCTCTAGCTTCGGTGCCTTACATAATAGCAAATACTCTAAATAATCACTTTACCTCATCGTTCACTGTTCTATGTGACGTACCTTTGTCCAGAACAACCATTAGCATTGTAAAACTGAGCACAGTAACTTTCAACAGCAGAGATATTCAGTGCCACATAGACCGACTACGATCATCCTCTTATCCTGGTCCAGAGGGTCTACCAACTTTCTAACATACGGTGGCCTTGATATTCCAATTTTACTCCTAAACTTGTTTATCATGTCCATGGAGTCGAGCATTTTTCCAATTCAATGGAAACTCGCGCTAATCAGGCCTAGGCACAAAAATGGCCCAAAAGCAGACCTCAGAATCTATCGCCCGATAAGTCACACGCCTGCTGTTGCGAGAGTAATGGAACCAACGGTCAAAGATTAAGGAATAAACCATTTGGTCTCATAAAACCTGATTAACCAGTCTCAGCATGGCTTTACACATAAACCATCATGTCAAGCCTGCCAGTTGGCATTACTGAATTGTTTAACGAACTCTGTGGATAACAGCCGTGCAGCCATCATTATTTTCATCGATATGCAAAATGCATTCGATAGAGTGCCACATCACCCACTGCTATGCAAAATGTCAAAATTTGGCATCATAGACCCCTTGTACGTTTGGTTTACCTCATATATTACTGATCGCACTCAACAAGTGCAAATGGGAATCCATAGGTCATCATCGCTGCCTGTTACTAGTGGTGTGATCCAACTGAGCGTCCTTGGACCATTGCTATTTTCGATGCACATTAATGATATCACAGAAACTATTAAAAACGGTACAGCCTACCTTTTTGAAGATGATATTAAGGCAATGTACACTTCTTATTCTAGAAATCTGGAATACACTTTGGCTAATATACAGTGATTTATTAGCTTTTGAAAGATGGTGTAACAACTGGCAAATGTCATTCGCGGCGGATAAATTCGGGATCTTGGCATATCGATGCAAGATAGCTAT